GTGTGTGTGTGTGTGTGTGTGTGTGTGTGCGTGTGAGTGTGTGTGTGTGTGTGTGTGTGTGTGTGTGAGTGTCTGCCTCTGATACAGTATCTGCACTGGCATCATCTCTCAGCATGACTTCTAAGCTGTGTTTAATTGTAACTCATTGAATCTGTAGAGGGCACAGAGACGACCTCAACAGAGAGCCAGTTTTCCCAAGCGGGACCGTAATGGAACTGCCGAGGATTCATTAGAACGTTATAGAAACATCAGTGCTGAGCTAAATTAACACATTCCCTTCTGAGATTAATTAAACTTGGCATAAAATGCCATTCAATTTATTTAATGGAGCTAACTGATCTTCTGAAAGCCAGACGCTGGTAAGTGGACGCTAGTCACCTGGATAGTCACCAACTACGCTTAATGCTTGGTCTATGAATATTAATAGATTACGTAGGCGGATGTTCCAGGAAGGTTGCCTAACAACGTCACCTAATTAATATTCATGAGTTCATGTCGTAATATCATAAGCAGCTTCAAAACTCACGTATTGAATGTTGAGTGTATTAATGCGCTGTTCTCACTAAAAGAGATTTGGAACAGTTTTTGTTATAAAATGCTCAGTGTAAATAAAAGGAAGTAAAAGTCAACAACACTTATTTCTGATAAATGAGAAAGAGCAAGGTCTTTACTATTTTCATTAATTCTCTCACTGTAAATAATAATCAGCCCCTAACAAAATCCTGCAGCTCTTCAACAAGTATACAAATGTTCTTCAAAGATGTACCGTGGAACTGCATCATCAGTAATATTCCATGTTGAATAATACATCCTCAATATCCGTTTGATTTCTAGACTTCACCATACGGTCTGGATTATGTGCATGTATCTGGATATTCTGTACCTGCTCCAACCTCTTTCAGACCCACTTTTAAGAATATAAAAGCCAACGATGTGCACATTACACAAGCTCTCACACCATACACATAGAGGAGAATATCAGTGCTTCTCAGAATCATTAAACAAGCCTCAAGCAATGCTCCAGTGCTTCAGTTCTGCTCTTATCTGACACATGATGTGCAGTACATTCACTCTCCTCCAGACCCTGTAATGTCTGCCCAGAATACTCACATAGACTCAAACCAGGTGATGAGTATTCGTTGACATAATTAGATTGTTCTCTTAATCTAATTTTAGATTCATTCAAGACTTACCGAAGCCAAAGGCTGGAGACGCAGGGATGGGAGACGACTGGACAGAAGTGGAGGTGTAGAGTCCGGTGACCAGCAGCCCATCGAAGTAAGTACTGGTGGAGATCGTCACTGCAGACACACACACAGAGAGAGAGAGGAGAGACAGAGGGTCAGAATTCACTGATTGATGACATCTGAGGAAAATCCAGCAAAAAATACTCCACAAGTTAATTGTGAGAGGCCTTTGGAAAAGTGCTTTGGTACTCAAAGTAAGAAAACAGTTAAATGGATTTTCCATCTTAAAGGTCTACTTTGTTATGGTTTGAGGGGAAATGCTCATGGTGCATGGGAAGAAATCTGGTCTGTGTTTCCCAGAAGCATCGTAAGCCTAAGTTGATCGTAGCTCCATTGGTTTCAATGGGTCCACAATGTACTTAAGCTTACGATGCTTTTGGGAAACGCAGCCCTGGTCAAAGTTAGTAGTAAATTTAGATCTTATTTGGACTGATTCAAACGGTAATTCATTTGGACTGGATGCTGCTAATGAACGAGACTCAAATCATCAGTGCGATCATTTGGGCTGGTCACTGAGCTAATTAGTCACAGAATCTGACCATTATTCTTCTTTTGGAGAAAAAATCACAAAATCCCACATTAGGTCAAGGAAGCAGTGCCTCTCTCACAAAAATCAAGATCTGAGTAAATAACGTACAGTACATAAATAAACCAAGCAAAAATTACAAAATTAATTTGTTCTAAAGTACACAGTCCAACAGGCAACAACAGCAGATGACGTTTGGGAAGAGGATGCGTCTCTGAGCTCATGGTGCTCTCTCTGAGGTCCTATAGTATTGAGCAAGTGACAGAAAATAGGTGTATGTCACATGAGAGAAGGCAACGCTTCAATCGTACCATGATCGGCTCATTAATCTGTCAATGCGATACAATGTTTACAAGTGGTCTGCAAATCCACATAAAAAGCATGAAATGGAAATGGAATATGATTTTACATTGGTTCCTCAAGTCCATCACTCACTACTCAGTTAACTACAATTTCAATTACCAGCACACATACGCTTCCCTAGTAAACGCATGCATTACTCCAAGCGTGTTTCTCATTGATTTGTACAAACTGAGGAACGAGACAAAATTAATGTCTGTAGTAATCAACAGGATGGCACAGATGTGGTCCAGAGACACCGAATGGAAAATAACCCAGAATCCTCCTGAAGTGCTGAGAGAGAGCAGATGTGTGTCCAGGAGGCGAACGCGACACCTCACCAGACGGCAGACGTCAAAAAGACATTTTCTCATGGTGAAGATGTCACTAAACACTGTGAGGAAATACATCTTAAAAGAGTGTGAGATTGACAGAAGAGGGGGAAAACAGACTACCTTGACATTCTGAGTCTGTAGAAACCAAACAACAGCAAACGTAACCAAGACACATGCAGTCATACTCAAAAACACACAAAAAAAATAATGCTGCTTAGTCAAAATTAAAATGAAAAAGAGCTAATGAAACACCATTCTTGAACATTTTCACAACTTCGTTTCATTGCATGCTTTTGTTTCTTTTGTATTTACAATGTAGCATTGCTGAAACTGGGCAGAGTGTTTTTTATCCTTGGCTTGGGAGAGTGAATGTTGAGGTTATGTGTTATTTTAATTATGTGTGTTTTTCAGCAACATGACAAAAGAGCAGACGTGTTTGTGCTGAATGTTCTGTTATGCTGGAGTTTCTTTAGGTTGAGGAGCGGAGCTTGTGCGGTTGAAGATGTGCTGTAAAAGTGCAGTAAAAGCTCTACGTTTAGTGAAAAGACAGAGTACTTCATGAATAGACTGGTAATTGTTGAGACAAGCATTTTTTTCTGACAAGAAACGTGGTTCAAAACCACAAGCCAACAGCAGATCCGCTCTGAAAGCCTGCTGCGGGTTTAACCAACTGTTTGATAAAATCCCAGACAGACAGATCATGAAATAGTCAAAGAAAATCATCATTGCTAATAATATTAGTTCTAGTTTGATTATTATTTTACAAAAACAAATTACTAGAGACTCTCACTATTTCTTTCTTTATGAGTACTCAAGGGAGAAGCGTGAGCACTCTGTGTGTGTAAGAGTGTGTGTAGTTTGTCTAGACATGGATACACTCCGGATTAAAAACATATTCCTCGTTCCTGCCTCTCTCCCCCCATGCCAGCTTCAATAATTCATCCTCTTACTGTCAGTGTAATATCTAGTCCTCTCTCTCTCTCTCTCCATTTTCCCTTTTCTTGTTTTTAACTGCATTATTCCCTACCTCGCTTTCTAAACAAGTGCAACTCAGTACGTACAGATCAGGGTGAACGCTTTATATGCAGTTCATTCACATTAAGTCATGATATCAATGAGAGAAATACATCGTGAACATTTTATCAGTGCATGACAATTTCGGTATTTTCTTCATGCAAAGTTGTCGTACAGTTTCAGAAGACAGTGAATATAGCACACATAGTCGTACTGGCTGCATTTAAGGTGCTTTAATAGTATTTCTATTCTTTTTGGAGTTTAAAAATGCTTCAAAGATTTATGCAAATACAATATTGGCAAAATTTTTATTTTTGAGTGAACTATTCCTTTAAACGTCAAGAAAATGCACATGCACCTTGACAAATCCAGAGCCCAAAAAGCGTTCGCTCTCCTCACACGAGGCACCTCGGGCTCAAAGCATCGCTCCCTCAAGAGCGCAGCGCTTTTCATGCAGGAGAAGCATTCGAAGGCGGGTGGGAGTGCAACGCGAGCGATTGGGCCAAGAGGTTATTATGAGCAACAAACAGCGCGGTGGAGGAAGGAGAAAACAGGGATGGAGGGACGTCTAGAGAGGCCCGTGAAAAAAAAAAAGAGTGATCGATGAAAATGAAACACGTAAATAATTCAGAAATCCATCTGAAAGGGGAGCAGAAGTGGGGGAAGGGAGGAGAAAATAGGAGAACCTGGTAAGAGTAACTCATAAAAACAGACGTATTCACCTGCGGGGGTTTGCATGCGCACAAAGCTGCGCTTTGATGAGAACTCTTAACATTCACTCCACACCCGCACACACTCAAACTCTCCCGATGAGCAGTATTTGACTGTCTTTAGCAGAAAGAGAGACGACGTGCCGCTGGGAGATGGAGATGCGGCAGGTACGTCGCCGCAACACTGATCACTTACGTCTAGTCTTGTCCATCCAGCCGCTCTCTCTTTGTCTCTGTGCCGTCCTGCCCATCATGCAATATAGATGGTGCGATGTAGTACGCCTCATTACCAACACTCACCGCCACGCTCCTATTCAACTATTGATAAACCTCGGGCCTGGAAAGCATCCCTGTACTCGCTGGCTTTAACAGAAGGGGTTGCTTTCTGTTGTAGAAGACTACCAAACAGAAGAGGAAGGGCCGTGTTGGGACAAAGCGCAGGAGTGATGCTTCTCAAATCGTTTTCTGAAAGAGGTTCAGCAGGTTCAGACACGGATGGCTCTATATGTGTGGTGCTGTCATCTGAACAGCACCTGGTGGCACCCTGAACGCCAGACGCAGGAGCAGAAGAGTGAAGCGAGAGCAGTTGGCAGGGCTGTGCATTACCTCACTCCTAGTTAACAGCATGGCAGTGGAACAACGCCTGCCAGCGTGTGCAATGAATATCAAACCTTAATGCGTTTGCAACAGTCGCTCCTAGTTGAGCACAACATTTATATACAGTCAAACCAAAAATTATTCAGACACCTTCAACACTTCTCACATTATCACAGTTTACTCGCTATAGTTTAGAAATATGCCAAGAACTCATTAAACTGTGTCCGAACAAATTCATCTTGATAATGTCAGATAACTTTGGTAGAAAGGTATGTAATGAATCAGACTGTCAGCTGTTAAATTTAAGTACACAATTAGATAATACCAATTTAGGTCAAACAATTACCAAGCAATGCTTAATTCTGTTCAGTCTGTGGTGTAAAAAGATCACACTAGCAATTAAAGAAAAAAACACTTAAGCAAAACATGCTCAGGTCAAAGTGTCTGAATAATTTTTTATCCCAAATTTTACTGGTAGTCCACTGTATGAAGAATGTTTGGATATAATGCGTCACAGTTTACTTTATTTTGCTATCCTCACTTACATAAATGAACTATAGTGTCCTGCACCCACTAGTAAAAAATAAATAAAAAATTATATCTTGTGTCTGAATAATCTTTGGTTTGACTGTATTGCTACTCCAGTGAGCAAGGCAAAGGAGGCTAAAGAACAGAAGAAGAAAAACAACTCCACAAGATGTTTAAGCAGAGAAACCTTGTGAGGAACCAGACTAGTGGGCAGGATCAGCGACACAGAGGAGATGAGAGTCTGGAACCAGAGAGTTCCCGCTGGTGATTCTGAAATGCCCGTATGAACTCCCGATTCTGTCCATCATAAACATAAGTGTCATTCCAGCCTGTCACACCTGTGACCCCTCTGCAGATTTAGGAAAATTATGTCTCAGCCTCACAACCACAGTGCCACACTTCCACCTCCGTGTATGTCAGAAGATACATGCAATATGGCAGAAACGTTACTCTGTGGCCTTCTGAGCCGCATTTGACATCCCACTGGAAACCTGGTGTGCCCTTGAGAAGCCGGAAGCGGGGAGAGGCCACCAGCAGCGACTCGGACCATCTGTTTCCCCGGCCGGGCCAGTCTCAGAGCCATCTCCTGCCGCTCCGGTCCAGTGCTGCTGATCCGGGCCGCGCCGCGCAGTATCAATCAGCATCGGTGTGGAATGTGTGATGAGTTTACGTGTGTCAGTGACAGCTGGATAGCACTTATCAAACTGTGATGATTCTCTTGCGTAACCCTGTATCGCCTCTCTGCCCTGCTGGCCGCGCCATCTGCTGTTGCGAGGGCTTGTTGCTGTCAAACACGCTCAATCGCTCTAACAAACATTAACAGGTCGGCTTCCTGAGTAACAGCTTCTTTAATGATGCTTCTAACCTCTTAATAGATGCTAACCTCCCTTCACATTTGCTCCGAACACAAGAAGGCAGCGGTGATCATGTTATTCCATAAGGAAAGTTGAAAGCTTACAACATTTAAAACAAGCAGCTTTTATGGAAAACCAGTTTTAAATTGTG